TACTACAGCTGTAACTAAAACTAAAATAGATAACTAATACAAATCAAACTACATTAGTTTATCAGTAATCCTAAAAAAATTACACTGAGCCAAACACACCATGCTAAAATAACAAAAATTAACTGACACATAGTAAGAAAGGTTTTTTAAAAAAAATGAAACAGAAGTGAAACAAGTAGTAGGAAATATTAAAAGCATTAAGTGCACAAGTAAGACTTTAAATGACCTTTACAAATATTAAGCAGTATTATTTATTTAGTTTAAATTTTAATTTATTTATTTGAGTTTAAATTTACATATAGTATTTATCTTTTATTTTATTTCGGCTTTACTTCAGTTAATGAGAACAATTTTTAATAGTTTTAATTTTAGTTAAAGGTACACTATGTAACTGTTTTTTTGTTTAAAATGTACAAAATATAATGATATAATGAGCGAGTACATCACAAATCCTGCGGTACACCTATAATAAGTGTTTATATTCTATTTTAGACCGAGTGGGACGCCAACCACTATGGAGTGGCCGAGACCTGCGTGATTCATCATATTCATAAACAGAGAGAAGAAGCTTCAGCTACATTGTTTTTCCGCAAGACGCATGCTCTTTTTTTTTTATTAACCTCTGGAGCGACAAAAGTTACATAGTGTTCCTTTTAACAGTAACTATGATTTGGTGCGATTTTTATTTGGTGACACTTCTCTTTTCAATATATCAAAAACAAACAATGCTTGTACAAGCTGTATGAACTACCTTTATAGTGTTTTTGGCCCTTTTTAAAGCTTGACAGTTCATGGTCACAATACGCTTTCATTATATGGAAAAAACATTCTTTAAAACATCTCCTTTTGTGTTCCACTACAGAAAGAAAGTCATACAGATTTGAAACAACATTTGCAAGGCTGGATTATGGATAGAGCCAGTAGGCCCAACGCCCCAGGACCTCGGATTGCCAGGGGCCTCCAAAGCCTCAGGCTGCGCACCCTAAGACTGCCAAAGTAAGCTGAACATCAGGGTCCTCTGCGCAAGGCCAGCAGACATTTCCTAATTTCAGCAGAATATGAAATGAGCTGGTGAGTAGCATGTGCCAAACAAATCTCAGCTTATTCTCACTTATGTCTACAGAATAGTTTTTCCCCTTAATTTAGTGTACATATTTGTGCAGCCCTGCATCTTACATCTTTTCAAAATGGTCCTAAGTTAGGGTAGGAATGCAATATGCTACTTTTATGGTGTATAAAACATAATTAACTTGTAATGCATACTCTATTCAGTGCCTGATTAGAAAACCTGGAAAATAGACATTCTTCAAAATATCTTTTTATGTTTAACAGAAGAAAGAAACTCATCCAGGTTTGGAACAACTAGAGGGTGAGTAAATGAACTCATTTTTGGGTAAACTATCCCAATAAAAAATAACCAATGCAAATGATATGTTTTTATACACATTGCGTTTTTTTGTTTGGTCAGGCATTACAGACATCTACTCTATGGGATCTAAGGCGGACTCAATTCATGACGCCAGCACTGAACATGGGGGTACGTAAATAACGGCATAATTTAGCATGATCTGTTCCTTCAAAAGTGGATTTAAAGCATGTTCTGACTTCCGCAAGATTTGGGATTGAACATCTGAGTTGCAGAGATAGTGAGCGTAAGACCTCATATGTATTCTGCTAACCCAGAAGATCATTTACCGGCGAGGGCAAGATGTGTTAGATAGTCTGACAGTTGTAGTCCTAACCTAGAATCTCAGATTTGGAGATCCTTTGTGCAGTGTGCCAGTATTACGGTTCATAAATAACTGCGCGTCCTTCCCGTGACACATTTATTTGTAGAAATTTGTATGATTCATAATGTGGAAACAGAGTGTTTGTAATGAACTGCCTTTTGATAAATTTTAATTAAATCCCATTAAACCCGCTGCTTTGTCGCATGTGGAAAAGGCGGCTGACAGTAGTTAATTAGCCTGTTTAAGCACAGCTCGCTTTTATAATGCATTTTCCTTTGTCATCATCCCGCTTTTCCCTGTAATTAGGCGTGACAGTGCGAGAGGTGCGACGTGAGGGCCAGGTAGCGTGAGCGCTAGATGGAGACAGGTACGTGTGAGGAGAGTGTGTGGGAACCGGAGTTTTAAAAAAAAAAAATGTATATATGGGTGCCAGGTGATTACCTTACTGAGTACATACTCCCACACCATGCATTATATTTCCTCCTCCAAGCATAACCCCCACCGCCTACCTAATCCTCCTCAACCCCGCTCCCCACCTCTCTCTCCTTCCTCATCCCTCCCTCTTTTCCCCCATCTTCCCCGAGCCTAGCAAAAAAACTCATTTCCTCCTGTGCCTTGAGCAATGTGTGCCGCACTAATTGCGCAAAGGTGGAGCGACGCTTTTGTCTGT